CCACCGCTCCAAATGCCTTTCTGAAGCATCACTGAAAATTATTAGGATTGGCTTTCCCAACACATCTTCTGGGGTCAAGCATCCTTGAAAGGTAACATCTTTAGGCTTTGATAAGTCGTCAAACCATTTGTACCAGTTGTCTTATGATTGTTGTATTTATGCTCTAATTGTGATGTTTGTTACTTTAATGCAAGCCCTGGGTACAAGGTTGTGCTGATTTTTGAAATTTCTCGAGCTTCATTCTTGATATCTTGCTTTTCCTTAAAAATTTCCTGTGAGATTAAAAAAATTTCCTGCCGCCTTGGTTCAAATGTTGTGTTTTGTCACCTGGAGTTTCTTGACATTATCGAAACAGCACAACTGGTCATGGAAACCATGCTTTTAAAGTATAGACAATTAGAAACTTTTAAAAATTAGAGATAATTTCATCAATAATTGGCAAGGAAACCTAAAAAAGCATGTCATACTATATTTTATCTTCTATTGTCAGAATATCACACTGCCTATAGTTGCCTGACAATTTTACTTTGGTATCAATGAGTTGAGTCCATCAGTGGTTGAGGTTTATTATTTCAAATTAACTTTGAATATATTTTATATTTGTTCTTATATTTATACTCAATTAGATATTGAATGATAAATACACCCCACATTTTAAATCAATTATGTTGTTCTAATTCAAAATTCAACTTCACTATTAAAGTAGATTCACTCTACAGAAAGCTTCATTAAGGTTGCCTTCCAGTTTAACAGAATAACAAATAAAAAAGTACTAAAAGCAGACCTCTCAACTTTGCAGAGAAGTTAAGAGTGAGATTGGGGATGTGGATGACACCTTTGTAAAAGTCCGGGGGTCTGAAATGGCATTTCAGTCGTACATTATGAGAATTGGTGTTTTTTAATGAAATACATTGCTTCATAAGTCATAACGTCCTTTAAGACAAGGCACTTTAGTTACAGTACAATAACTGTATTTCTGCGACATACAGTATTAATGAGCTTTAATTTGCCTTTGATAATTTGCATATAGAATTCTGCTCCGACTGATTCTGCCTTTTGTCCGCCGTATTTACATATGCGTACTATTTTGTATCCAAATTGCGGGCAAAATGTCGGGCCGTATATGCAGGAACATGAATAACACGCGATTATATATTCGATTTGCGATCCGAATAATGATGTGCATTTAAGAATACAATATTATATTATTGAAAAAATACTATGAAACTGCTATATGCGTGAGATTTACTAAACGTGGCGTGAGAGCGTGAGAGTGAAGCGAATTGCGTGAGACTCACGCCGAATGCGTGAGACTCACGCCGAATGCGCGAGAGTTGAGAGGTCTGTAAAAGTACAAATATCTTTTATAGTACCAACTAAGACATGTCTATATATTTTGTAAAAAGGCTTAAGTAAGATGGATAATTGAAAGTTTGAAACCCTCTGGTCGATCAAGGTTAAACATAAATGATAAAATGAACTACTAACTTTCCTTTAAAAGTATGCTTGAGTATAGTAGATCATATTCTGCCTCCGCAATT